ATATATATATATATATATATCTTTGCCACCATTCCATTTCTCTTCTGGTGAAAATGACGATATTCAACGTTTGTTTACACCACAGCTGAAATCGTCCATCCACTAACTATCTCTTATCATCCTAGCACAGTGGATTGGGACTTTGGTTCAATCTCCGTCCGTTCTATGGCTCCTTAACCTTCTATAATCAGATCAGTGCAATAGTGATTTGTTAAGGGGTTGGTGAAAGATGAAGTCTTTCTGGATGGATATTTTGACGTATTTTCATTCATGACAAGTCATAGTCTCAAATATGTTTTCCCAAAAATTTTCAACTTTCTTTAATTTTTAATTCCAATAAATAATTTTCTAAAAATATGGTGCATCTGGAAGTTGACTTTTAACTAATGAATCATGATGAAAACAGAAACGTCGAATTCTTCCAGTGCCTAACCTCGGGAGTTTGTGGCAGCGGTGGCGGATTATGTGCGCCTCCACCACCACTTCCTTGTCAACCGAACGCTTGTCAGCCTGGGTATCAGTGCGGACAGTACGGATGTGCTCGTAATCGTGCTCGAAGCGCCCTGACAAAAAAGGTGGTGAGTGAAGATCGGATGAGTTCCATGATTTTCTTATCGGATTCTTCTCTCAACTGTCACATTGTGATTTCAGGAAGGTATATTCATCAGTGACGAAGACGATTGGAAGTCGAAGGAAAGTGGAGTCGAGGGCAAGTCTTACAAGCGACTCACCATCGGAATAAATCGCAAGACGACCAAACCATTAAGCGCCGGTTTCATCAGAAAACAGATGGACAATGTCACTTTACAGAAACTGACCGTAAGTCAACATATTTTATTTATTGCCTCACGTGAGAGCCAACTATCACATACAAAGGTGTAATGGTAAAGGAAATCCCCTCACTAGCTAAGAGACTTCAGTGGAACACCGGCCCCTGCGTCTCAGTTTATTTAGTTGCTGTTCTTAGAAAAGAAGCACGGGATTGAAACACTTCTTTTCTTTGTCTCAGCTTAGTTCTATTTTCAAAAAAATTGTTTTTGGACGAAATAAAGACCGAATTAAGGTATCACCATTTGATTTCTTGTATTGGGTTCCTGTTATATCGACAAGTCGTAGACGAACGCTATGCAGAACCACAGATCTTTCGGTTCTGACCTGTGTTTGTGGACAAAAAAGCTCACTAACACTTTCATAATCTATTTGCTAAACTGAAATTGAGCACAAAGACCACCGTTTACAAGTGGTCACAAAATTCTTTTCCATGAGCGCTTTGTATAGTAATTGAGACAGCGGGGCAGAATCAGTCCACAGGAGATGGGGAATCATTCCGCTCTACAATAAATCGCGAGCGTCCAGCACAATAATGTTCGGGCATGACGTGACGTCTTGGATAGTCATTCATGGCTATCCTGTACCCGACTACACCCACCACTTCGTATTTTCACCTCTAGCAACAGTGACGACCTTATCACACAAGGGATGATAAAATTTTTAGTGGAAGACATAGTTGCTAAGCGTTCGCTATAAGGTCCGCCACTTTGCAAAATAACCATCCTCTCAGCGCTCTATTCTGTGCGAATTTGCTTTCAATTAAAAAGGACCAATGGAGTGGGATGTTGGATGAGCCATAGAAATAGAATGACCCATGAACTCTTACTACCTGTATGCAATCTTAGCAGTATTTGTCGTTCATTGTAAGTTTTTCCAAGAAGTAGTAGTAGCATATTAGCAATAATAGCCGTGATAAGAAACAATTCGAGCTTTCAGAATCCAAATTTCATCTTCCGGAAATGCTGCGAACAGCGAGGGCTTCCTGATGCCTGTCTCAACAAGTGCAACTTCAACTTCTACACGAAGGACGCGGTGAGTACTTGATGAATGGTGAAATCTATCCTCGTCTGAAGTATTTCATCGTGATTTATTCGCCATATTTAGATAATTTGTAAACATCTAATTCGATCTAAATTGATGACATGTCACTTAGTTCCTAAGAATCTCCCACTTCGACATCATCGAGTGTTATTCTGGCTTCTGACCTCGTGCATGTAATTCAAGAGAGTATGCTGCGCAATCCGCACTTTGACTGGTTCCGGATTGTCGGGATCTAGTCAGAGGGAAAAGAGACCAACATGCCAATCATCACTTTCACTTACATCCGGATCATTTGTACATAACAGCATATAAGTCTAATATAGAGCATTTAACAAGCGCTGCGCTGATACAGTAGACATTAGAAAGAGTAGAGATGTGTTTCACATGTATGATTAATAGCTTAAAAATCCAAGAAACTATTGATTATTAATTTGATTGGAATCATTCATGAACCATGTTGTTCGTTTTAGCAAGATGTTAGCACTTGACCAAGAAGGATTGTTAAGAGGGCAATCTTCATGGGATCGTGGAGCGGCCGCACTGTTTATAAAATTACATTCTACAACTGTCGTGGTTCTTGTTGTATAACGGTCCACTGTAGGAGTTGTGATCCCTGATAATCATAGAAATCAGCTCCAAATGTTTTTCGACGAAGGAAGTGTGAAGACAGAACCACCCTCACCGCTGCTAATTTATAGCTATAACTATTCAATTATGATAGTTATAGAATAAAATAGAAAACACTGTCAAGAACAAGCAAACAGAAGCTAATCAATGCATATTCTCTCCTTGCATCATCGAGCGGAATAGAAGCGATCACCTGTTCCGAGAAAGGTGCGCCAGGACTCATGCTCGCCAACATTTTCAATTAATACAGAACTCGTAAGAGTTACTAAAACTCATACACAAATGCCATATGGTGAGTATGAGATCATGAATGAGATTTAACGAACTGTTGATTACAGTTGCAAGAGATGTACTTCAAAATTGACGGTTGTCCGATCGAAGCCACAGCTGATATGCACTTTTGCGCCGCTCAGGGACGAGACCACACAGAGGTAGGAGATGATGTGGAAATACTAGTCACAACCATTATCATGTACTATTATGTACTTGTGAGCAGCACCATTTCTATTCATAGCCACGCTTTACCAACCTGTTATCACCATGACATGAAATAATTAGAACCTAATCAAGCTCAGAACGAATCCGTCGCCTCGGTTGGGTATCAGAACATCAACTCTGAGAGTACTATCCATGTGAATGGAGTGATTAACACTTTTCGGTTGATTCTGGTATGACTAGTAGCACCTTGTTTTGCTGTAATGCAGAATTTGAACCTAAGGTATTTTAGTTAACCGAATGTCAAACTCAATAATTCTTAGAATGTAGTCTTTTTATGTTTGAAAACAAATGTTGAAGAAGAGAAGAGCCTGTCGTGGGTTTGACCTCCAAAATTCTTTCCTCTTTGCTTTTAAGCTTTTGCACCCCATATCTCTATCCTTCTCCGAACTCTTCCTTCTTCTCAATATAGAAAGTGGATGAAATATTAGTTAACGAGTTTTTCAAGGGATGAACTAATTTCAGTGTTGTCACCAAAACGGAGTGGCAACGACACTAGCCGGCATCAAATGTTTGACTTTCTGCGATCAACGGCCGAACAGGTGATTCCTTCCCAGGCTCTCAGCAAATAGTTCTTACTATCTTTTTAAAATTGCTAAAGATCCATGGTCTAATATTCGTAACAGAACGTTTAATATCTTATATAGCAAACCTAGTAGAAAAGCTAGTGAGTTCCCACATAGATCCTGTGTTCGGAGCTTGTTATAATATCCAAGCCCATCTCACATTACAAGTAGAAGTATTACTAAAATGCCTGAATCCCGAAACAAGAATCTCACCTAACTGTGCAATTTTGAAGGATCATCAAGTTAGATTACTCCTACGTTCCATGCTATGAACGATTCGAGCAGATGAAGCAATGCTTCTACAAAGAAATTCGCAACAAAGCACAAGAGCAGTTCGGATTTACGTGAACTCATCTCGATGGCTCAGATGACTGGGAGATGGTAAATCCCAATGTGACAATGTAGTAGATATAAATGAAAATGTCATAAATATCTCAACTTGACAAGGTTTCAAATCGTATTTTATATCGATTGCATTACTCAAGTAATCTCATTGGATTGCACAGAGCCAGTTCGTTTTTCCCTTTGTTTTCTTTACTTTACTTTTCTTTATTTCTTCCTAATTATTCCTTTGTATAAAATGTCCATGGTAGAAACCTTTGTTGGAGTTCATGAGAGGACCATACAAGATAAATCTCTAAGTGTGCAGCAAAAAGAATCGACAATAGTCCAGATATTAACCCTTAAACTCTCGATTTATATTGGGCTCGTAGTAGTACGTTGACGATGGTCTGAAGCAATAAGGCGAAAAAAAGCCAGTAGTATCACCTGTAGATCCGTTGACCTTCTAGTGACTCGAGCGGGCGCCAGTAAATCTTCCATTTTTCCCTGTTGCGTGCAAAAGTAGCCTAGTGGATTCTGCTCGCTCCAAGGACTCGTCGAGCATCACATCTTTCTGTAAGGCTCTTTGTGAAGAGCTCTGACCATCGGGTCGGTGGTCTTCCTGCAGTTCGTTTGACACCCCGAGGAATCCAGTCACTGACGGCTCTTGTACATCGGTTGTCATCCACACACATTACGTGTCCGGCCCACCTTATCCTCGACTGTTTGGCGTACAGAGCAGCATCTATGACTTTTGATCGTTGACGCAGGTCGAAGCATCGGATCCTTTCTCTTGCTTGTGTGAAACGGGATACTCCTAGCGTAGTCCTTTCGACTGCGCATTCGAGAACGCTGGGTCTTTCATCCTGCTTACGCAGCGACCAGGTTTCTGACGCATACGCTAGATCAGGAAGTACCGTTGAGTCGAAAAGGTGGGCACGGTGTCGCGTGTTCTTTGTTCTCTTCACTACAACCTCGATGCTCTTGAAAGCTACCCAAGCCCCTCGTTTCCTTCTGCTCATCTCTGAAGCTAAGTCGTTCATCATATTGATTTTCCGACCTAGACAGATATAACTGGAGCATTCGGCGATATTCGTTCCGTTGAGGGTGAATGGAGCGTACGAAACCAATCCGTTCTTCATAAAAATCGTTTTTGTGAGATTTAGTCGAAGACCAATCTTTCCACAGGGTTTATCAAAGCTGTCAAGCATACGTTCCGCTTGGCTAATGTTTGGTGTTTTAAGGACGATATCATCAGCAATGACGTTCTCGAGGGTGGCGGTAAACAATTTTGGCGAGATAGAATGGCGTTGCCTAACCCCACTTTTGACATCAATGTTGATATCGTCGTAGAATGGTGACACCTTGGTTGGTTTTGTACAGCTCATGAAGAATCTTTATGTTCTGAGTAAGGACTCCCTAACTATCAAGAGCTTCAATGAATTCTATCTCAGTTGAGTCAAAGGCCTTCTTTAAATCGATGGAAGAGAGACAAAGCGGTCTTTTGTATTCTTGCAATACTTCAATGCGTCTTGTTATCGTGTGGATATGTTCCATCGTACCAAATCCTCTTCGAAATCCTACTTGCTCACATGGCTGCCCTTCGCCCAGTGTTCTGTCAAACCTGTTTAGGACGACTCCAGTGAGAAGTTTGTAGACGATAGACAGTAAGCAGATTGGGCAATAGTTGTCGATATCGTGCAGGTCACACTTCTTGAACAATAGCACGGTCTTGCTTATCTTCCACTGAGTAGGGACCTTGCATTCAGATAGGTAACGTGTGAAGAGCCGAACAAGTGTGTCTACGAGGACTGGTGGAAGGTTCTTCAGGTGATCTGGTCTTATGCTGTCCGGACCGGGTGCTGTTCGATTTTTCACCGACGAAATGGCATGTCGGACTTCAGGAGGGAGAGCTGGTGGTCCAACATATCCATCCTCCTTTATTTCATATGACGGAAGGTGGATGTGGCTACAGAAGAGATCTGAATAGTGTTGGTGAGTGATTTTCTCGATTACCTTTCTAAATGCTGTAACTGTTCCGTCTGGGCGTCGGAGTGCAATCATCTTAGTAATGTAATTGGCGAAGCTCCGGTGAGCTTTGCCGATGCTTTTCTCTGTGTCTGCAGCTTCGCCCACTACGGCTGCTCTTCTCTGTTTAAGATCTTCTTTTATCGCCTGTCTGCATTGTTTTGCAATTTCGTACGTTAGTTCGCGGTTGGGTGCAGCTCGTGCGATTCCACGCTGGCGTATCAGCTCGAGTGTTTCTGGAGACAGACGTCCCTTGGTGACTTTCGAGTCTCAGCTTTCACAGCGCTAACATGGAGATATTCAATGAGCAGATTGTATTCTATTTTGATGTTATCGACAACGGCATCTTCCCAACAGCCGACTATTGAATTGAATAAATCCCAGTTTGCGGTGGTTCTGAGACTTCGGTTTTGGAATTTAGCGGCTTTTTCTCCTTTCCGTGCGAAATAGAATCTTGCACGAAGGAGACGATGGTCTGGTCCTGTATAGAATGTTGGGACAACAGCGAAATCGGTTAGCCAAGACCTTCTATTTACTATGATGTGGTCTATTTCGTTATGGTACTCTCCATTGGGAGACTCCTACGTCCAGCGTTGAGGGTGGGGCTTCCGGAATTGCGAGTTAGCATGATCTTGGTCGCCATGATAAACTCAGACAGCCGCTCACCCTGTTCGTTCCATTCTAATCCGTGGGTCCTAATGTGACGTTTATCAGACGTTCTTCTTGGTCCAATCTTGGCGTTGAAATCTCCAATGATGACCTTGAAGAATGTATGGTCTTCTCTGAAAAACTTCTCCAAGTCCGTATAGAACGTTTCGACTTCTTCTTCGCCATAGTTTGATGTCGGCACGTAAACGACGAAGTTTGTCAAAGCCGGTATGGATCCACATCATTTTAATTGTAATCGTCCGATTCGGGTTGTAAGTTGTTCGAATGAATCGATGTTCATGGACAAACTCGTTTTGACGAGAACGCCGACTCCTCTATTGTCGCATGTTCCGAGGAACAGTTCTTCTCCGGTGTCATAGACGGTGTTGAATGGGTGACGTCGTCTCGTCCCGGCTAGGCCGTTGACGTCGCACCGTGTTGTTCTTCTTGCTTGCATGCGCTACCCTTCTATCGAGGACGCGGATGCAAGTGTACGTGCATTGTAGGTACAGATCGTCACCATAATTCTTCGTAATCCAGGCAGCTTCCATTGGCACTGAGATTCTAGCAGCTTCTCCTTACTTGTCATACCCAACACTGCGAAATTGGGGGCTCTTTCGGGGTAAGGCGTGTGAGGACCGTTTTTTTTTACTGTTTAATATTTTGACACCTACACATTGCTTGGTGTTCTGAACGTGGAGGCTGGGTATGCTCACGGGTAGCTTGCCAGCTTCTCCTAGAGTAGACATGGGGCTTATTTGTTGGAGGCGACTCCTAACCGCCTCCCATATACTTCCCAGTCACTTGACTGCAGGCTTTTGGCCGAATTGACTCGTAGAATACAATCCGGATAAACTAGAACGCACCCACACACACATGCATGAATACGCCTAGCAAATACAGAAAGTATGGTCCAAATCAGCGCAGCAGAAACAGGGAGTTCATCCCCTGGATCCACCTGCGTCTCAGGGAAGCAAATATCGCTTTTGGTAGTAACAGATCGAAGCCCTATACTTTCGAGCAGTGAACAAGTGGTACCACCTAGTGTTGTAGGGAGTGCTACTGACACCCCTCGATTTTATTGGACAACAGAAGCGTCCATACCGAAGAACTTACGTTGCCAATCGTTTTTGATATTATGATGGCTCTTTTTCACAGTGCTCCACTTTCCAATATATAACATAATTTATAATTTTGCGAAAATCTACGGTCAATTTTGTAGCCACTATAGGCATGACAGCAGAAACAAATTAGACTGAAGTGAAAGAAACCTATCAGAAACAGTTCCAAGAGATTATCAGAGTTATGGGAAACATTTTCAATAACTATTAATATTCATATGCACACTTTGAAGTATTCCAGCCAGACATCCATTTTACCCAGGAGATAAAGTTACACTTCCGTGACAAACAACTAGTCGAAGTCCAACGTTTCTGAACACACTGCAAAAGATATGACTCTTCATTCGCAATGGAATGTTTGAGCTGTTATGTTAGGTGGTATTAGAAAAACAGCAGTGTTTCCTGCATTTAAGATGATCTGTTTGAAAGATAACGTGATATTTTCCGATCTAGAACAAATAGTGTTGTTGAAACTACAATATCCCGAGTTAAGTAAGGAGAAGCGCATGTTTTTATTTACACTTATGGTCACTGAAGTTACGGATGGAGAGTATTCCTGCGTTACAATAGTTTCATGCATTTGAAATGAATTTACTTCAAGACTTCATGAGGAGGACAAGTTAATCGGTGTACTGAAGAAAATTAACTTTAGAGTTAGGAAAAAAAAACTGAATGGTGGAACCCTACGATGCAATCCTTCAACTAGTGTGAAATGAACTTCTTTTAAAGCACTAAACGATACTTCTACAGTATATCAGCAACACTAGTAACAAAATCGACAAGAAAACTAAATCCGTTAAAGATGGACGAAAAGTAACAAAACAATCAAGCTTGACATAGACGACTTTCAAAAAACGGGTGTGAACGATGGAGTAAAATGGTCGTCAGCTGAACTCACCCGCAAGGACATCACGGCCGACTATATCAATGGAAACCTTCTAGTAAAAAAATTGTAAGCAACACTAGATTTAATATGAGGAATGAACCAGGTAATTTCACCGACCAGCATTAGTAGATGAAGAAGCATTCTCGTCTATCAAAGAAGGCTCTACAAAATGATCTCTGCTACGGCAGACAACAAAAAAGAAGTAAAGAGTTAGCAAGACAAGAAGTCCTAGAGCGGTGCTATCGCACAACTGTGGGAAGGCGTATACGAACCCCCAAATCGCGACGAACTGTCCTAAAAACAATCGAATTAAATATGTGGGAGCAGAATCAAAATTTTCCATTCTAAAGACCTTTCTTCTTCAAAACATACTCCTACAAAAATTTTCACTGTGATTAACGCACTACTGTTGATGATGGGTGGTCACCACCTCCTCGCCATCAATACGCTAACGAATGGTTCCCGGCTTAATCAATACACGTGAAAGACCCATAAATTCAGAGGCTGCTCCGATATTCCACTGCTAATATACATACCCGCAAATATCCACAAGAGGTAATCACCAAGACACAGTCGTTGTGGTGACAGCATTGCAGCCGCATCAGCTGCACGATCAAAAGGCGACACGTGAACTTCCTGAGTGTCTCCCACTATCGAATTAAGAAACCTTAAACATATTTAGTGGTTCACGACGACAAAAATTCTGTAGGGGAAGTTATATTTCGATATGAAATGGAACAGGTGAGGAACAAAAACTGTTTAATAAAAAGAACGAAAATCGGTTGACCTTAAGCAGGATCTCATTTCTGATGAGTGGTAAACACTCACAAAATACAACGCTAACTATTCAAGGGTTCCAAAAAGGAACATTCACTGGACCCAACGCTACTTTCGCAATAATTATGCATAACCTTATTTACTGCCAACAAGTTATTAGTTCATTAATGGCTGGGATGATCTAATATTCTTAATATTCTTAGGTGACCTTAAAATTTTATAGATGGACAGCATTTAAAATACATACCTGCGATAAGCGCGGCGAATTACTCCCAGTTGTTCAGCAACCAGAACCTCCGATTGCCGATCAAACAGAAATCGTATCATAGCGTGCAGAGGTATACCAATTATCGGGAAGCGATAGCTTAGCAACAGCAGTCCCATTGCCCAACGAGGATAACGGAATTCTAAGTAGTTAGTAAAATAAAGTAAAATCAGAACATTGATAGTATTGCTAACAATAGAACAATGTGAACAGTGTGGTAATTTTCAAGACACCTACCGTTTTCAATGACCCCAACATCAGACGAGCTCTGATTTGTACGTATAGTGTCTCGACTTCCAATATTTGAGGAATTGACAACGGACTGTGAAGATGATTGCCCCTGAGACTCAAGTTGTACAACAGAAAAGACACATTACACAAAGTAAACAGTGAAATGTGGACAAAACCTGCTTAGCATATGGTGTATTGCTAATATGACAATGCACTACACAACCGTCGCGGAGGCCGTAGGACGCCAACGTCCTCGAATCCTCCCGAAGTAATTGTCCTAAAGGAGAAACACGTAAGATTTCTAGAAAAGGAAAGAGAAAACGCACGATATAACGGACTTAACGACCATTAAAATCTCAGTTTAATCAAACCAGTGAGTAAAAAGTCAACAGTGGATGCAGATTTAGAAGCAAACCTTGATAAATTAGACGAATAACCCGGCCTGCAGCAACTGCTTCGCCAAAATGAACACTAAAACTGACAGTTATACAGCAAAACAGCACGATAATGTAAGGTTTGAACGCAGAAATGACTTGATTTGTAAGTTCAAAAGCGTAAAAACCTTTTAAATTTCGCGACGGTATCGGTCATGGTGGCACGAGCATCTTTTTGTGTGTCATCGAGAAATTTTAGGCGAATGATCGAATCTCCTTCAACGGGAGGAGATTCAACCCCCGAAGTACCTTCACTGCACGGTTCTAGAAACAGAAGTCGAATGGTGTCAATTTGTAATCACGTTGTTTCCTCGTAATTACAATACAACCCTCCAAAAAACCTCGAAACTTCTACACTTTAAGGCTCCCTTACATCGCGCAAAAACGATAAACACTTCTAAGAGATACAAAAAACTCAATTCTCTGCTAAGAAATAAGTAATCCTATCTTTTTAACTTTTTTACACGAAACGCAGTCTCCCTGACATCAAGAACCGATAGATAGACTAATAGATTAGAAGTTTGGCAAAATTCATCGTATTTAAGCAGCAATCGTTCCCGAGAATAGAAAAAAAATAAAAATGAAGAGAAACAGGACAATTACAATACCTGGACTGTCATCACGGTCAAGCGAAACTGTTGCGGCCTCAGCCTCGGGATTAGGGATGTTGTTCTCATCGATACTGCTATCCGTAACATTTTCCTATTTTCGAAAACGATTTTTAGTCCTTATTTTTGAGAAAATATTCCGAAAGAATCCAACCTGGATATTTTCCACTCCATCAGTGATGACACTGATATTCATTGGCAGAACAATATTTGATCCTTGAGAATGTTGGCCTTCGAAAATGCTGTTATTGCTGACTTCACCATTAACTGATGATGCACCGACAGACGAAATGCTTAATGCGGGACCATTTGCTGCATGAGATACGACATCCATTCTTCCAGAAGACGATCTGACTTGGAAGCCACTGTAAGCAACTTCTGTATTGCCAATAGTCAGAAAAGTAATCCAACAAATTTATACAATCGCATTATTGTTATTTGTATACCAATTCCCTTCTACAAAATTGTAGAGATTACCTGTATACAAATATATGCTACAACTGCCTTCTAAGATCATTCACTAAGTCATGGTACATGATAAGACAGCAGGTTCATTCCCGCACTGAATGAACTTCTATTAGAAGAAAAACATACCCTTGTCCCAAAACAGCGATGGCTGCAGCCGCTACGAATTGACTCTCATGTGATATGTTGCTGTCGCTGGAGCCTATTGATGGCATTTCTATTTCCCACAAAGTGGAGGCAGATGAAGATTGAACACTGGAATCACTTCTAACCAAAGATTTTTCCAAGAGAAGAACGTATAATGTGTCCGAGACATTCTTTTACACATTTGTGAACTCCATGATTACATTCGAAAAAGTTTAAAGCTATGTTGTCAGATCGACTTTCTACTAACGCAGGCACTAGATTATGAATGCGTCGTTTGTCTTTCCAGCAATCACGAGGTTGTTAGAAGGTATACGTTTACCTCCGTACGAAACACATAGGATACAATAGTAACTGACGTTTCGGCATTACAGCCGTGTTCAGAGCCAGGAAGGATATGTTGATATGCAATTTACTACGGCAAACCCTTCAGTAACATAGAAAGAAAGACAAAAATCTATGTGACAACCAAATGATCAACAGCTTCCCGATAAAACCTACCGTTTTTTACGTGCCTTTCACTAAGGAAGAAAGCTCACTAGAATCGCATATGGATGACTGCAGCACTCCACGTTAAAAGTCGATTCGAAGGCACGAGGCCAGACCACGTGTGATCTCTGGGCATCCCTCCCTGATTTTCATTGTAGAGTTCTTAGCATTTATCTAAAAACCTTCAAGAAGTTTGTGTTTTAGTGTTTAGGTATCTTGTGTGAGGATAGTGGCTTTTATATCAAAATAGGAGGGGTGGTGCAGTCATCAACCATATGCGACTCTAATGAACTGTTCTCCCTCAGTGAAAGACACGCAAATAACGATAGGTTTTTCGAGAAGATGTTGATCACATAGTTGCCACATAGATTTTCATTTTGCTGCCTGTATTATTGAAGCATTTGGCGTAGTTAACTGCATATCAATATACCATTCCAGGGTCTGGAGAAAGCGAAACTATCGAAACGTCAATAACTGCTGTGTTGTATGTTTTTTGTGCGGAAGTAAACGTATGCTGTCTAACAACCCCGTAATTGCTGAACAGGAAAACGACGCAATTACTACCATGTTTAAACAATTGTGAGTTTCACGAACACCTATAAGCAGTAATAGCAATAAAGTCCTTGAGTAGTTACAACTGCAAAAAAATAGACTTTAGAAATAAAACCACTGGAAGACTGCATAAACCTGACCCCGTGTGATTGGCACATGAACCGCTCGTCGAACCACGCGCATTTTACTGGAGCGCAATAGAGATGCGCATTGAAAAGAAGGTGCGCAGTCCGGTGCCGCCCAAGAGGCACGACGTAGTGATTTCGTAAGATCACCGTTCTATTGTTTGGTTCCTTCACGTTTTTCCACCTCTCCAGCTTCTACATATTCACCATGTTCTTCTGGGCACGTTCCCATGTTCTTGGACACTTGTGTGCGACCCAACTCCTGTACATGATGAAGAAAATTCGTTCATTATCTAACCATGATGTTATTGGCTTCCCACAATGTTCTACGTGAAAGTTGAAGTGTATTTATGTCCCTTTCATGTTTTCATTTCCACAGATTCCAACACCGTCCGAAATGGGTTTTTAGATGCACAGCTGAGAATACCTATCCACGGACCAGTCCTAGCATAAAACCTGTGTTTGACAACTCATCGATAGATTACAAAGGCTTGTAAAATGTTATGCGGTTAAATGTATAGTGGAAATATCGCAAGAAAAGTAGTTTTGGTCAGTTTGTGCACTAAACAGTTGTTACAACGCAAAAGGTTCAATCCCTTCACGAGTGCGGCCACTTGCACATGGCTGGTCCACTGGACGGCGTGTCACTGGAGTGAACTTGAGATGGGCATTGAAATCAAGGTATACAGTCCAAAATGTACAGCAGCATACATACTGAAATTAATGCGTACGGTCATGAAAGGGTTAAGCCCATCCGTCCCAGCGGCGTTTTACGTGGCTGACCCAACCGTAAATGAGCACTTTGTTGTCGACTGCTGACTTCCTGATTATTTGACAATACGGAACCTTTGCTCAATTAACTAGAGAACTGGAGAGTTTTGAACACTACAGGATTGTAGAAGAGACTTTGCTATACAGTTCTACGAGAATTAATATGAATGCCAGCATTCATTACGTGTTAATATGGCCCACATTGCAAGTGTATTAAAATCGGAATTTCGAAATATTCCCTGGTTTATGTCGATTCTGAGTTCGCCATCTTCGTATCAATAGATTTCATACAATAACCATAGCGACTAAAATAAAGTAACGGTAAATTGTTAGTCAAACTACCGGCCAATGAAGTCTTTCGGAAAAGGATTTTTTTTTTTGCAAAGTTTTAGGTGTAGTGGATGGTTCTTCTGGTACCACTCCTCCCATTTTGATCAACTTTCCATTAGCCATCGAATGAATACACACGAGGTGAAAAAAATTCTGGAACCTAATAAACAATGGGGACACTGTGGTGCCCATACGAGGCGTAAAGGGTTAAAATGTACGTTCATTCACAATTGTCAAAGCGTTATGGCTGTTTTAGTCCGTTTCAAAACAACTGTTTTCCACCATAAAGATGTTGAGATATTTGCAAAACTCCGGATCGGTGACGTCTGTGGTGGGGACTGGACACGCTATTACCTTTTTCGGGAGCTAACGTGTTCACCTCCACACCATGCCACAGTCCTTCAGTTCGCCTTTCTCTCAGCCGTGTTATTGACCCATAAGTGCTATCAGTAATAACTTTTCAGTAACAGTTTTTAATTCCAAAAGAAAAAGGCTAAAGTACCTAGCAGTGGAGTCGTCCATTACGGTAGCCGGAGACTGAATGAAGACGTTGGTATCACTAACGGGCCTAGCGGAGGAAGCATCCGATGCATCATTTGTCCGCGAACGTGAACGAATTCTTGATCGCATTCGGGTCATCACATCACTCCAAGAACCACGTGGACGAAACTCTTGTCCCAACTGCAGAACCTATACGTAATTGCTCTGAAATTCTAGTTGCACTGGCGCTGTCTATGTTCGTCATACACTACGCTGGTCAGGAAGAAACGCAAATATATCCACCCCACTGGCAAAGCTGACAAGTTCTACAACTCCCCAAGGTGTAAAGAAATGCAGAACAGTAACACCTCAAATAAAACACCCATCAATTTAAATGTCAAAGGACCCTAGAATTTGCTAAAGGAACACCTCCTCGTGGCTGAATAATTACATCCTCAGTTCAAAAAAAGAATCGTTAGTGAAATCTGCGAATTGAAAACTGAAATCCAGTTGAAATCTACAACATAAAAATGTTAAACATATGTACAAATTGCTGAGCTAACACGAGGTTGATAAATTAGCTTTATTCGGCCAACGTTTCGACGTGTTCGCCTTCATTACAGTCGATAATCCGAGTCGATGGTCTTCTCGATGTGTCGACTTCGTCTTCGTATCGAGTCAGACGTACTGGTCGGTTAGATGCCCACTGAAGAAGATCTGACTTGATACGAAGATAAAGACGACACATTGAGAAGACGAACAACCATGGACCATCGACTCGGATCATCGGCTCTGATTAAAACGAAGAGGTCGAAACGTTACTTGGACACTTGGATGGCCCAACTTCGTTGTGCTGGCCCCAGCATAACCTCCACTTTTTCGGAGATTTGCTGGTTTAGCCTCTGTGGTTCTCTGGAATCACGAGGTCAGCCTGGCCAAACTCTGCCCCAAGTCGTCACTCCCACAGGCAGTCGCTTTTTTTGTGGATCAGAGGGAGATTTGTCACCATGCGACTGCTTCGATAGTATGACGGTGGTTGATCCTAGGTATTGGTTCATTCGTAGTTGGGTTTCGGGATGAAAATGCCGAACTCTTTCTCAACTTGGGAGACCCTACTAGGGGATGAATCTCCTGCTGTGCATCGCTGCCCGACACCCAGGAACACCTCACACCCATGATGAGGAGGTAAACAGTTGGGAGAGGTCGAAACGTTAGCCGAATAGAACAAATTTATCTACCTCGTGCAAGCTCAACAATTTACACACGTACTCACCATTTTACTACCGAGATTAATTGAAGGTTGGTTTGAAAATGAAAATATTACACTCATTTTAACCGTCATGAAAGCGACATCCAAATTGGGACGCTCCTAACGAAACTTCAGCACGCCGGTAAAATAATCTTAGAATGCAAGTTGTTATTAGATAAAAATACTAGTGAGCAGCAAAAAGTGTGGGAGACTCGAGAATTCATGTTCCATGCTCAGATATCACTGAATGGAGAAAAAAGAAGAACCAAAAAGTACAACCCACTTGTACGAATCTTCTGGAGCCCAGTGAATGTATTTCAACCAAGAACAGATCGTAAAAAAGTGGTCTACGACCGGTTAGTTTCCATGCGCCGACCAAAATTGAAAACACAGTCAGTGACACGGCCGTCACAAGGAATACAGTTACGACCTGAAACTCCAGCTTTCTCCAGGAACAAAACAATACGGCTACTGAAAAATCAGCAAATGAATCCAATTCATGGATGTTATCCAGAAACACAGCCACTCTACAAAGCACTCACCTCACTCCCAATGCCTTCGATTTCAAGCATTCCCGGAAAGCGGGCGCTCGAATTCCACAGTGACCTGTAATTCATGATGATGAGACTCGATAGTACACCAGAGAAGATTTCAGATGAGATCACGGTTGACGGATCTGCTGTTCCGCAAGTAACTGTCAGCACAAGACCTTATCCAGAGATTAAATACACAACTTTGACGAACACATGTCTGAGCAGCAGATAACAAGAGTGCGCTAGCGAAACGATATCGATCGCCGCACGACGATGAAAGAGCACTCGTCCGCGCCGCGAAAATCGTCCGAACTCCGACGCCGCGTGGCTCTCCATTGTTCCTAGTCCATTATCGGAATCAACACAAAGAAAGTTCTTGACAAACTCTCTAAGAGTCGCGGGATTAGCTCAGCACAGTTTTTTTAAGCTCTCTGGATTGTTCAGCTTGGATTTAAGCTGAACAATCTAAAGAATTTATTGATCATTCACGCCGAAGTTAAGTGAAAATCAATGTGGTTATTTATTGCGGTTCTTTTATTCGGAAACTAATGGAAAGGATGGCACAGTTCGTCTCCGTTTTTCAGAAGAAGGTCAGAGGTTGTCCTACTACTTACTTTATTCTACACCAAGACGGCCCGTCTCCACAACCGCGGAGCTGCCAGGCAATTTTTTCACCTGCTTTGTTCTCTAGCGATCTTCCTTCTCGAGTGGTGGTATGTATCGTAGATGGTGACGTCTATAAATACCGTCTTTTGGTTTTTGAATATCTTTCAGGTGGTGGTGTAAATGCTTAACATGAGCCTTTCAAGCCATCGTATGGGTGAAAAGACTACAGGATGTTTGTGTCCCACATCTCCCATCTCATGAATCTGTCAAGCATTCTTTCCTGATCGACCAGTCTATGTTAGTCCGCCTTGTTGATGTGTATGTGAGTTATATTTCGGAAGATTTCCCGTAAAGTTTCTAGAATTCTTAACTTCACTGGCGCTTCAACCGAGTTTGCAGTTGATAACCTAGCTCTGGGATGGTGGTTGAGTCAAAAAGGTAAGCATGAAGTTCTCAGTACTTCGGCTGAGCAGTGGCTTCCTTAACAGACCTGATTGCGGCCATTCTTACTTCTTTTCGCACCACTTTTTCTTCACTTTTTTTGTTCTGAACATCCTACTCATCTATAGGATGCGATGTATAATACCAGCGACCTGTCGAACTTCTTCACTATCACACTACTGCCTGTTTACCATGATTCCCTTCATTTCCCAGCTACGTGAACTCTTCAGTCGTCGGCTTAGCTTCCATGGTCTTCTGTCTAGAGGATGATGGATATCGTTAAGAAACGAAACTTGAGCAGAAGTATTTCACCAATAACTTTGGGTTTGTTGTTTTCATCAAGCGACTGTCAGTTCCTTTGCAGACAACTTATCGTGGTTTGCTATCTGACACTTGAGGTCCACTAATGAGTACCAACAAAGTGTTGCTCATTTCGACGCTATTGAACAGTTTTTCATAATCGGCAAAGGTTTAGGAGAAATGATAAGTGCTATTCTTGAAGTCATGGTGCTTTAATGACTTGATCCAATACGAATAGAGGTGGCATAACTCTTGCAACACGCTCTCTCTCTAAACTGTAAGAGGCACCAATCTACAAAATGGATACAGGAATATGGGGACAAATTGAAAAGTATCTATTACTGAACAATCTGGTGATCAGAAAATGGTTTGATTGTACAAATAATTTGAAAAAACGACTTTCGATTAACCTCGGCTCTAGTTAGATTATATTATCTTGCAAGCTCTCCCTTTGTTTGAAGTGAAACGAGGTTGTGTATTTTAAATTAAATGGTTGTGTTAAAATGTATTTTGGTGTTCCATGGGTAACCATTCTGCGAATCCGACTTCTTCAGAACTTTTTTCTTTTCTTCAAAGAATGAGACGGTCCGTATATGGTTTGGTATGGTTATACGATGGAGAATCGTTCTTATCAAAGTCTTTACAGAAGACCCGTAGCTGGTGTCACAGTTCAATGGCCTCAGGCCACTGCGCTACAAAAAAAAGGATGAGGCCGTGGTTGATCACTGATGGTTTACATAAATAACAGTAAGCCATTAAACTATGACACCAGCTACGGGTAGGATGCCTGCTCTTGGTCGCAACTAGGAATTCAGAGAAGAATCCGGATGTGATTTGTCTTAAGCTGTAAATTTTGGTCGTGGGACGATGGTTGTGAAACAAAAACAGAAGTGTGAAGTTTTTCCGCCATCGATTTCGTTTCATTGCTAAGAGTAGGACCATCGTTCATGAAGGTTGATTTGTTCTTTCTCTTCAAACAACTTTCTTGGGAGACGAAGTGCGTGTGAACTTTTCTATTGGAACACTAAGACGATTTTGGGAGGGCTTTCTAGTTATTCGACGAACAGCACATAGTATTCAGTCTGCAACTCAGCTTATCAGTCGCATGGGAAAGGATTGAGTTAAAATGTTTTCATCATATACAACTTGCCTATTTCCTGTTCCATAATAACGGTTCTCTTGCTCCGTTCTGTTCAAATGAAGGAGAATCTGAAGGTGCCAGTACACAGAGAAGAGTGCTTTACCTACAAGGTGCCCCCCAATCCACAAATTTTCCACGATTGTCGACTTGAAGTGGATCAGTAACTTTTGTTTGGGTACTCTTAAACCATCAAATTCTTGCGAATTACTTATGGTTGGTATTTTTCATTTGATTGTAAAAGAGACCAACCAAAAAGGATAAGCCGAAGAACATTTAAAATATGGGAAATTTTGCATGCGGTTTCCTGTTATATACCTACTTTGGAGTCGTTACTTTTTCAACAATCTACTCAGTGACGATTCTGGAGCCTCCTAGAGACCGTCAGCACTGATAAATAAAAGAATAAAGCTCTCGGCTCTGGTCAGTCTCTGAGGGATGCGCCATGCATTCGACTTCATTAACCATCGTTGAAGGTGACCGGATGCATATCTGGCCTTTATAATGATTCGCGGTGACCTACCGATGTATCGTGTCACTGCTGCTACCCTTCCAGACAAGTCTGGTACCAATTTGCAGACCCCGGAGGGAAGGAGAGCTTGGTGGGCCTGGGGAATGAGATCGATACAATGTGTACTGCAGAGCTCCTCCAACCACTGCGTTACACGCGTCCCTCGACACTGATGCTTATTATTATTTTTTCATAACTTTACGCTTCGTATGAAGGTCTGATTTGCATCCATGGATTCAGAGTAGCAGTTCGAGAAGGGTCGGTTGGTGCTTAGAACAACGGTTATGAGTGTGCACCACTTCTTTCCATCGTGCGTTCGACCACTGTTCGAGAATGTTTCTATCATATCGTTGGATCATATGAAAGCAAAATCATGATAGCGCTCTTCTTCGTGATAATGTGACTCTATTGCGTATATAATGGTTCACTCGTATATTTTTTTTTAAATATTGAAGGAAAAACTTTTGTTCGTCCCACTGCATGTTTTTGATTTTTGGTTTTTACTCACGTTCTGCTTATTTGTGTACGATTTCTAGGAATCTGTGTCAAGGTTCGGTCTCTCGATGCTGTAGCACCACTAACGTAGTTTCTTATGGTGTTATGGACTAAGAAGAAAATCTGATGGAGAGTGAAGTAAGTATGTCGTTTATTCTTAGTTGGGCGTACGGGTAGAAACGCCGGACTCTTCAGCTGCTCATAGCTCAGCTGAGATCCTGCTAGGGGAATAAATTTCCCGCTGTCCATAGCAGTTCGACATCCAGGAACGCCTCGCAGCCACGATGAGGCGATAAACTGTTGGGAAGATACACATGTATATACATGTATATGCGTATATGTGCATACGTATGTATATATACGCATGTAGTAGATATACATGCATATGTACGTATACACATATATATGTACATATGTGTATACACATATATACACATATATATATATATATGTACTTGTTCCTGGGTGTCGGGCTGCGATGTACAGCGGGGGGATTCATCCCCATGGCAGAGTCTCCCAAGTTTAGAGGGAGTCAGACGTTTTCATCAGGAAGCCCAGCTAAGAGTAAACCAATGCCGGGATCCGCCACCGTTCTGGTACCAAACTGTTCGCGTGGTGGCAAATCTCTCTGTGATTCACGAGGGCGAAGACTGCCTGTGGTGGTGACGGCCTGGCGCAGGCTTAGACCTAGCTGACCTCGAGACTCCAGAGAACCACAGAGACTATGCCAGAAAAATTCCGAAAAATTGGACATTGTGCTGGGGCCCGCACAACCAATGAGGACGGGCCATCCAAGTATATAATATTTAACATATATTTATGTATTGCATGCATATAAGTTTTATCCTAAGGAATTTTGTATGCATGAAAATAGAGTAGTGATTTGTTCTGTACGTGAGCTCACACTAGGTTAGAAAAATTGAGAAAAAAACAGAACTTCATCATTATGGGGAAATGTGTCTGATGATAGCGTTTTGTTCAGCAAAGCATCGCAGATATGATCCGCGATGCAGCAAATGAAGTGCTGCATTCGCGTGTTCCAGAAGGTTTCCAATGGATCGAGGCCTATGGACAGTACTATTCACCGAGTTGTGGCTTTTTCTACGATCCAGTAAGCTTGTCTTTGTTTTCCACTATGTTTTAATAGTCAAGCAACTATATGACCTATGGAGCAGTCACACGCTGCGGAAATAATGGCATCTTCCAGTTTTAAGTGAACATATATCAGTGGTCGAGAAATTATTGTCAGTTGTCGAGAAACCAACTTCGCCGCGAAATGGCTAGACATGTTTTTCTAGTATCGATGTTATTTTAAAATACATGTTGCCGTTTTTAATTCGTATTATATGGAGGAGGCGCGTGTAGCACAGTGGTCGGGGGAGCCTTGCAATACATACGGGTTCGATCTTGCGCTCTAGACTCACCAAGCCCTCCATTCCTTCAGGGTCGGCAAATTGGTACTAGACTTGTCTGAGAGGATAGCAGCACTGGCTCAATACTTCGGTAGGCTACTGCGGGTTATTGTAAAGGCCAGATATGAATTCAGTCACCTCCAACGATGCTTAGTGAAGTCGAATGCATGGGCGATCCCATAGGGATTGGTCCACACCAAAAGCTTTATCCTTTATCCTTTTATCTTACTTTCTGTAATGCCTCGATTGCAGTATTCCGATGAGTTACGTTTCCAGAATACCAATCTCTTCTATCACAGTGATTCGGAGACATTTTACGTATTCAACGATGATAATCAACAATACGAGGTTTATAAACGGATGCGAAAAAGTGAGTTTTCTTTTTCTGTATGGTACCCTAAGGTTCGATACTTCAACTTTTTATGCGTGTTATGGTTTTTTCTGATGCCGTAATTCTAATTGCTACTCGAACAACTCGTATCTGTTCGGAATCCTGTCTAGTACTTTTTAAAATTAACTCGCTCTTATCATTTCAGCACACTGGAATTCTCGAGCAAACAAGAAAAAAGCACGTCAGATGTTCTATGGTGTGCTTGACCGTTTTGATCAGGACGCTGTGGATGTGTGCGAAATTGTGTTTGATATGACAGCAAAGCTTTCTTTAGAGTGCAGTGAAAATGAATGTGATGATCACAAAGACGGGACACTTTTCTCTCCTGTGAGTCTCAATTGTCTTTTTTTCATACAGAATTAAAGGTGTTTTACTTCCTAGTGCGCGCGTAGCACAGGGTCGAAGGCGCCCTGCAATACGCATGGGAATAATCCACGCGCGTCAGGCCCACGAAGCCTTTCATCCTTCTGGTGTCTGCAAATTGGAACCATACTTGTCTGGGAGAATAACAGCACTGGATCGATGCATCAGTAGGCCATCGCGAGTTATTATAAAGGCCAGATATGCATTCAGTCACCTCCAACGGTGCTTAGTGAAGTTGAATTCATGGTAAATCCCTCAGGAATTGGTCAACGCCGAGAGTTTTATCCTTTTTTATCATTTAATTAATTGCTGGACTTCGTTTTTTTCGTCTATATTTAGCAGCATAGCTTTAAGCTTCTCTTTATGGCAGAAACGATAATTCTCAAAGATTAGGAGTTTAATTTTCCATTCCAAACTGTTTTCGAAAGTGTACGTTTAGTGCAGAAACAGTTGTTGACCTCACTCTTATCATTCAGACCATGTTTTAACGGTTAGGGCTGTCTGTTCTCTACCAAATGGTCATAGTCTAATGTGAAATCGAAGTTGTTTAGCATAGACTTTTTTGTTTCATAAAGAAGCCTATGGTTCGAATGGATGACGAATACGATGGTGATGTATTTCCGGTGGAATACTTCGACGACACAACTGGCCAGATTACATGTATTACCAAGAAACCGATGAGAACCAAATGTAAACGCCTTACATTTTGCCTTGATGCATCTCTTGTTCCTGTGTTTTTAAAGGCTACTCAGCTTCAATGAATGAAATTTTCTACAGGTACAAATGAAGCGAAGAAAAGTGGAGAAGTCAGAGAATTACGACGACGAAAAGTTCTTGAAGCAATGAGAAATGGAACTAATAATCTATCTATGTGTGAAGAAGTGTGTTCTGATGAGAGCAGTGAGGAAGAAGATGAACGGATTCAAATGAAGGAAGGTATGGTCGCGCTAAGAAATCTGATCACAGAGTCTTATTCAATGGCTAGAACAAGCTTTATCTCATTATATGTTGTAGGTGTTTGATATATTTAAACGACAGTGTAGTATTTAGTCTATTTTAAAAACAGTATTGGCAGATTGTTAGCTGTGGGTAAATTCTAGAGGAAGGCTTTTTACAACCTCCTTTGTTACGGATCATCGACTCCAAGAATAATCTCCATATAATCACTATGAGTGGAGGAAGTGTTGGAAGACAGAGTGGCAGTGATATCATCATTGAAGATCCGTCCATATCACGGGTTCGAGATTTCTTTCTTCAAAACGAAGCTTGTTAAACGTGGCAAGTATAGCACCAATTTCTTCTCGCCCTCGTAATTTTCTGTGGCATCTAGTAGGTCTTGTTTCAGAAACTACTCGAATTTGTTTTCGTTCCTGAGAGTAACTCTTTTGTGGTAGTGAAGCTTACTGATAATGGACATGTTGCTTTAAACGATTACGAACTTACGGTGAGTGAGGAGTAGGTTAGCGTCGTTACACCGCATCTACATGTGTCTTTCGTATTACCGTGACTAGAAGCACTGGTGCTCAAAATTTGTTTCTAATACCGTTATTTATTAGCAATTTATGTAGGCAAACGACGGACAGGAAATCGCGCATGGCGACATTCTGCGATTTGGTCTGGAATGTTTGCGGATACACGTGCACTTCGGTAGTGTTATAAGTTTTCCTTTTTACCAAACAGTTCAGTATAATCTTTGAATTTGGGCAACAATACTTGTACTGGATGTGAACCTGGGCTTCTGAAGGCGGATATGAGCACGGGTTCCCCACAGCTCATCGTTTCTTTTGGTGAGACTGCCCGTCGTCGCAATTTGAAGGCAATCAAGGCAATGTATGGGATAAATGAATATGTGAGTTTGATTTAAAAAAAGTGTGTACGAGGTGTTACGCTTGGCTTGCTAATTGACCAAGATTCTTCCTACGATTGTTTTTCATTCTTCAGGAATTTAAGAAGTGTTGTTATCATTAACACTTTAAGTTGATGAATAGCTGTTAAATTGACAGGTAGAAAATCCTCGTATACCTTTCCACGGAAATGATCGTGCAGCAAAGAGGCGACGTCTTGTTGGTTCAGAAATGGACATAAGAGATAAAAACGTGGATCCTGGTGATATCTATTCTAGCTGTCTCGCTAAGCCACTGCCAGGTAATGTGAAAGATACTTATATCTACCACGGGAATAGTGGAGAATGTTAGAAAATTTCTTGTTGATTCATGTATCTTTTGTACGGCCACATATTCCACTATTTTTAGGCGCTGTGGTAGTTCCGAAAGTTGATGTAGAACAGCCACTTGATGAGGCAAACAAAGGTTTCCGCCTTCTTCAAAATATGGGATGGAAGGAAGGTAAAGGCCTCGGGAAGGGTGAACAAGGTCGCCAGGAACCGGTACGTATTGGTTTCTTATTACTGATTATTTGAACCTTTTCAAGGCTCACGTTTTAAATAAAACAGCTTTCGGTGGTGTATTATTGCGTCTTAGATTGATAACTAAATCTATGGTAGTATTTGAGGAACTCCTTAACCATCGGAAGCTATTCAGATTTAAGTAGCCAGTTCGTGAAAATCTGGATGCCTGTAATGATTTTTGGCTTGGAGTGGACATTGTTTCTTTCCAAAAACTAGAAATTTTTGATAGTTGAAAAGTCTAATATGTGACACAATATCTTCGAAACACGAAACATTTTCGATTATGCTACGAATTTCTTCCACTGTGGTATGGTACGTTCGTAAAACTACTCATAAAGACATTTTTTTTCTTTTCGACAAAAAGATTATTGATACTGAGAGTTGTTAATAGTGAAGTCATATATGGTTTATTATCGGAACTTCGGAAGCATTAAAATCCTTCTTGTTCTCTTTCGGCGTTTTCGTATCGAGTTAGGGTGAAGGTACTGTGAGTAGGCGCAAAAAGTTGCATCAAATTTTAGGTGGTGAATCTTTTGAAAGGTGGACATACAAAATGTACATGTCAGGTCAAGTCAACCGTTTGTAATCAGCGTCTCGGATTAGGAGCCGCACATCCAAAACCAGTACCAAAAACCAGAAAAGATGCGATTTTAGACAAGACACGGGAACGCTACAGCAAGGTAACATCCAACTATTGTCCTCATCATTGTCTTTAATGTTCTATCTTTTGTCCGATTTTTCAAACACTTCTTGTACACCAGGTGGTCATTTTTCAAAAAAAAAGTACTTCAACTAGTGAATTAACTTATTCTCTCCTTTCCACACTAGTACTTTGTGTCGGTCAAAATATTTCTTCACCAGCTATCTTTGTATCTAAACGTTTGAAATGCTTAGAGTTAACATTTAGTCATATATTCTCCTCAGGATTCAGTCAGAATGAACATTAATTGTCATCATCAGTATATCTGTATTTTGTAACCTACGTAATAGTTATCAATGACGCCAAAACTTGATCGTCTAGTGACGTCTTCTTAGGCGAATGTAAGTTTCTTGCTAGAGATGAGACAGCCAAATCTAAAATCCACATATAAAGTGGATATTAATTTCTAGAACATTACTGTCTCATACTGTGGAACGTAAGCCTCAAACCAAACAAAATCGGTACAATTGTGGCCTATGAGGTGTTAAAACCACTCATTTTTCTTCCTTAATTTTCAGATAGCTAGCGAAACAATGAAAGATGATGCTTTTTCATGATGTATTCGCGACCTCGACTATGAAGACGGAATTGTTGGTGTAAGATTGAATGTGATAGACATCGGTGAATTTTTTGTTTACCGGTGTGAACATTCATTTCCCCATGTTCCACTTATTTAAGTTGCGTTATGTGACAAACTAGCACATCTCCATAAATCTGTAATTCTGTTAGTCGAATGGCTCACGAAACAAGTCTAGAATTGCTTGAGTAAAAATTGCCTATGCCCACAGCTCTGTTGGCTCGGCGGACATCAACCGCACTTTGAAAGCTCCCTTCTATTTTTCTACTATTTGGTACCGAGAGTTAGTTGTTGAAGTTTTACGCTGCCATATGATCCCTCTTAAATACATACTGCTGCACATCAGACTTGAAGCTTCGACGCATCCCTTGACACGCTGTGCTGTATCACATGAAAATTAAGTCTTTGATCTTTAAATTCATTGCCAAGGTAGTTTACATTTAGACATCTAAGTAATATGCCCAGTAGGAAACACATTTCTAATGTTCAGCATCCATCAGCATTTGTGGTCTAGGGTTCCCTTCTCGAGCGAGAGTAGCGCAGTGGTCAGAGGTTCATTGCAATGCACAATTGATTGTTCCCACTAGATAGAACATCTGTCGTGTTCAGTGTGTAAAGTTTCGACAGACTACGTATTCTTGACGAGAACACGCATCGCAGTGGTTAGGTATGCCCTGAAATACACGTAGTCATTGGTTTGATTCCGCATCCTGGGTTCAGTAAGTCTTCCATCTCTCCTGGGACGGTAAATTTGTACGACGGTTGTCATGAGAATAGTACCACTGATGTGATACATCGGTAGAGCTAGCGCCGTATAGCGCCGGCACTAAATCGCCTCTAAGGATGCTTGATGAGGTCGAATGCATTGTGCAAGTTGGCCAGTGGATTACGGAATTGGTCGGATTTGTCTTTTGTCCGCCAACTGTATGTGAAATGCCCGACTTTGTATGAATTCGCCACGCGGGGCTTTTTTCCGTAACTGCCGTGGACAACCTGGAGTTTGGGTTATAACAATTTATAGCAATACCAATGGTACAATAATAATGGGTAATATGTGACGATATGTGGTTAACTGGATATATACTAGCGAGATTGAAATGAGAACAAGTGGTACAACTGAAGGAAGCTAGGCGGACACTAGAGTTGGAGCACTGAGAGACTGAATGAAGACCGGACGAAACCTGCGAACACTTGAAGACGAATGCCGATGGGCTGTCTGTATTACTTCTGCAGTGGGTGGAGCTTTGCCAGAGGGGACTAAAACAGCGCCTAGAGAGAGGTTTTAAAGGTTTTTCTACTATCACATTCTGATAGGGCTACATGTGAAAGGGCGCAGGTACTTGTTTGGAAACTTTGGGACGGCAGTTGCTGGAAAGTACATTCAGCTACTGATTCCCATTCCACCAGCCACTTGCGAGGCAACTGCATGAAATCGGTCGGTGAGAGACAATTTGCAGAATATGCAAGAATAAATGTATGACGATTACAAGTGAAACAGTTATTGTAGAAGAGATAAGGTAACATAGAAATAGGAACTATTTAAGGAACAGTTACTATATGCATCGGACATTCCTCAGCAACTGGTCAACGTTGAACTATTACAGTATATAATAGTATAGCATATGATATATTATAACATGTGATCCATGATAGGCTGAACGCATTATATACGAAATGTCAATATTGTCCCTCAAGATTTTGGCAACGAAAATTTCCCTATAATTATGAGAAAGAGTCAGTACCCGAAAATGCGGTAGGGAGAAGTCATTTAAGTTCAGAATGATGTGCTGTGCTTCTACTACTTTTAGCAGGTGATTCGCTTGAAGTGCTTGCTAAGTCCTTGTGGGATCCGAGACTACTTATAGGTAAGCAGTCATGCTTCACCGGAGTAAGACTTTGTTAGAGAGGACTCTCCTATCCAAACCAATTTCTCCTCATTACTGGTTTTGGCCGAATCGGCTTGCAGGAAACAATCTGAAAACGTGCGAGATATCCACAAGTGTATGCACGCAAGTCTAGTGGATCTTTTGATGAGCTTTTAACCGTCTGTATGTCATCTGGATATCTGCGTGTAGCTTTGCACGCAACCAGTTGGTTCCACGATTCAAGCTGGGATCCACTATTACCGGCGGACTTACATGGCTACTAAGCACCAGGCCATCAATTTAACCAGGACGGTAACGCCCATGAATCGTTCTCATGATCTACAAAAGAAATCTGTCATGTGAACTTTATGAACAGTACTTCGCCACGGCGTCGATGATGTAGAGAGGTCCATGAAGACGATACCATATCGACAAAGACATTCAGTGTCTCTTGAGAATCTCCGGAGCACACCGCAACAGGATACACAAAACCCTATTTTTTCTTTGATGACATCGTTATTATGGTAGTTAATATCTTCCAAACGGATGGTGGTTGATTTCGATATCGCTTGTGAAAGAAAACGGTCTTCGTTCGGACATAAAGAAGGTTAGTCATGATTTACGTTCATCGTATAAAATATCTTCGAATACAACCACAATGATACAAAGATATTTGCGAAAGTGAGACCTATTTCTACTGACGAGTGGTCGCTAACGGTATTGTTGGGGTGGAAAACTGGCTGAGAGGAAGGCAAAGCGAGGGCCTCATTGGTGCAATAAGACCTAGGAAAGTAGCGGCGGCTATCCTCATATGCGTTCTGTCTGCGACACCATCGGTGGCATGTACCATTCTTTCCACACTGTACGCCATGCGTACAAGGCTGGTGACCGGCCAACTTATGCTATGTATGCTATGCCGCTATAGTTGGCCATCAGTTCTCAGTTGCATTATTTATGGCCCAAGTTATCTCTTAGGCAATGGTGGCACCCATCGATGCTCAAACTTCACGTTGCAGACGTATCGTTATCCAAGACCAGCCGTCTGACCATGTTCCTCAAATGTCTCATCTCGTTCGTAGTCACTTCCACCAACGATACTTAGGTAACTTGCTGTCCTCATCGATGAATATCAAAGCACACCTGACCGCTGTACATATGATATCTAGCTTAGCCTAATGCACAGCTCGTCTGTATTTCACTCTTCTTTTGTTCTAGCCATCGGCATCTTGGCCACTGTACGCGATAGTGTGGGCGCCATCACCAGCATCCCCTTAGTCGTCATTGCTATCAAATTGCTATTATCATTGTACTAATGTTATAATAGTATCCTAAGCTGTTGTGGCCTTATTAGCTTCACTTCATTAGTAGTTATAGCGCCTCATAATCTTGGACTTGCTTTGCTCTTGTGCCAGTACCTTTCTGTCGTTATTCTTGTTGTATTGGTGTTACATTTATGTATATAAACGGTTTAATTACCAGAGTTCGAGGTATTTCCCCATGACAACTACGAAAAGTCTCGCGTGGCGTCTTCTCATGAAGTCAAGCATTCTGCTTAAAGCAAGTGGCTATACGGTGCCGCGAACCGACTCAAAGGCCTATTTTCCACTAGCAGTTGCATTAGAAAGCAAATATCTGCCGCTACATTGTTTTTCATACAAGTGAATATGAATAGCGGCATATTTTTACTTTGCGGAAAGGGAGAGATTTCTACAGAAAGTGGGAAGATTGGTACAAAAATGCAAGCTGAATGTTAGTTAAGATGACCTGGATGCCACTTTGAATTACTTTGAATGATTTGTCTCACTATTTATCAGTGTCTTTTAATGGTTAGTGTTAAGATAGAGTCACTATATACCGCGATCTTAGGAAGCGCACATGGTCGGCTTCAAACTGACGAACGAACGTCATGCACTAAATTCGATTCAAGAGATTCGGTAAGAAAGGAAAGCAGCGATGGATTGCTTCTGGTGAAAAGTGCTTTCCGCAAAGTCGAGTGGTGAGATGGAATAGTTGTGGGCTAGTAGAAGAGAGCAGAAGAACTATCTACTAATTTAATGCCATTAATTGTCCTTGGCAACTACATATGTTCACTACGCTACCAGATGTTGACGATGCTACTACTGAGGAAAAATAAACATTTTCCGCTCGGTAAAGGAAATTCTTTTGCTAAAAATGAGAGGAAGGGTGGCGAAATAATTTAAACGACGCAAGAGCGCCATTTGCACAACTACTCAGAACAATACTCTCAACCGACAGAATACACTGGAAACAAAAGAATAGCATTTAGAAATTTAAGAGAAGAATTTGATGCAAGGGAATTTCGCGCGTTTTATTACAGTTTTATGGATTTAGGCCACTTTCGATTGTTTAGAGGGCGTGTGGCGTAATGGTAGGAGGTGCCCTTGCAGCACACACATGGGATCGATCCCCGCGCCAATGGCCCACCAAGCCTTCCATCCCATCGGGGTCGTCAGATTGGTTCCACACTTATCTGAGAGGGTAGCAGCACTTGCTCGATACATCAGTAGGACACCGGGAGTCATTTTAAAGGCTAGATATGCATTCAAACACCTC